GAGTGGTGGGGGTGGGAATTGATATAAAGGCTGAAAATAAGGGGTTGGAGATAATTAGACACCGTGTATTTTCTTGATAGCCTGGTAGTCTCACGTTTAGAAAACCCCCCTTTTCCAACATTCTTTCGGCCTACTGCTCTATTTCAGTACCGTATCTCTGTGTATGTGTCAGTCGTTTTGACTGTCTGTCTGTCTCTCCTGTCTGTAGTTTTATCGCTTTAATTGTTCTAGCGTTGAATATTATAGAAGAGTTTGAGTGCTGTAATGTGAATCCTCAAATGTACTTGTTCAAATGAAAATGCGACGAATGGAAATTACAAAGATTTCTTTGTGAACATAGATTCATATTACAAACAACAACAAACAAAACGAAAAAACAAAAGCCAACACATTTACCGGTAGGCCTACGTTATACTTAATATATTAATATGCAATAATGAAGAGCACCGGACAATGAATGAAAATATACAGCGTACATTCATAGACCAAAGAAAGTATAAAGACACTCCCTCGGTGTAATAGCTTTCTAGTGAGTCAATCGATCTTGTTTCTATTCTCGTTCGATGTGCAAGTACTTGATGGAATATCGTTCAACTGTAACTTTGGGGCCAAACAGTGCGATAGCTGGTAGTTAATCCACCCAACCCGTGACCTCTTTTTCGACGCGAACTGGGTCAGGACGAGGGAGTTTCCGTCCCGCCAGTGATGTGTACTGACTACTGACACACAGATTCAAACTTCTTTGTCCTTAGTTCTTCGATTAACCGGGGAAAATGATAGCCTCCGACATAGTGTTTGGTAGGCATATGTATCATTTTCGTTTTAAAAAATGATTCCAGTTATTTCAAGGGGGTGAAAAAGGAGAAAGAGGAGAATATAGCAATATAGCTTCTGAAGTATTCCTGGTCAATGTACAGTATATTACAGTTAACAAACCAAAAAGAAAGGTACCCCCCCTCTCCCCAACCCGATTTCGCAAACACACCATCAGAAACAGGAAGATCGAGGCCAGCGTTGGAGTTCCTGAAGTGGTGGTGGCTGCGCTTTGTTGTACGGACTGTTATTGATCGGAAAATGTCTGTGGTGACTACAATTGCAAGCAAGGCTTTCCTGACCGCATTTCAGGAGTGAGTTTGTAGTCTTGCCCAAGTGCTCAACTGTAACTTCAGGGGTCTTGGTGTTCGTCGCTAAAACCAAGTCTTTGTGTTATAGTGAAAAAGAAAAACTGAGGATATAGGAGTAGCCTTTTAAAAAAAAAAATTTTTTTCAGTATCTATTTAGGAGACCTATCGATCCGTATTCTCAGGCAATGTTTATTTTAATGTTTTGGTTGTTCAAGAAAGCATTAGCCTAGAAACGTTCGTGTGGCATAAATCAGAAAATATTAGAGCTTTCGACATGAAAAATATCACAGATATAAACAACTATCAAGGGAGTGGGGAGGGGAGGGGACATATAGAGGCTAGCTTTGAAGAAAATACGTAATCGTCATGCTTTTCTTTGTTTTGCACCACATTACTAACACAAATTGTAATCATAATTTTTTTTTTTAAAGCTTCATTAACTGCAATTCTTTGTTCAATGAAAATTACTTAATTAAATATTTTCGTCAATGAAATGTTGCTGGCCGACTTCTTGTAATTCGATTCCTGCCATGACTGTTGACAGAATCATAAAGCTTCAGATCGTGGCACACCATGACATATAATACAGTTAATTTAAAGAACGTTTACAGAATATATAACGGAAAAAGAGAAAGGGAGGGGGGGGGGGGGGCTTGCTGTGTAGATGATAATATGCAAGATCGAATGTACAAGCCAAGCAACTAAAACTGCCCAAAGCTGTTTATTTTTAAGAAAGAAAAAAAAGGATGAAAAAGAAAGAACGACATTTGAAGACACTGCAACGTGAAACTCACTATATTTAAACAGAATGGAACACACAAAAAATAGCTTTTCCCCCATGTTTCACAGCATAAGCTGTTATTTCCTTCTCAAACTATAATGATACAAGGAACTAGGATGTATAAAAGCTTTGCATGTGCACCTGTTGCTTTCATTTTGTTTGCACAATCAGTGAAAAGTGAATGACCCCATATCCTCCAATTAATATTGTTTTATCGTCATGGTTATAATCAATTAATACCTGTACATTATTATTTTAATTATCTCTTTATTTATTTTCTTATGTATTTATTTTTTCGTATATATATATAGATATATATATATATATAATAATAATAATTTTTTTTGACAATACCAGAGGGTGATTCTAAAGGCACCTATCTCTGATTTTTTTTTTTTTTATATGAAAGGAGAAACTGGGACAGATATTAGTTCAAAAGATGCTTTTTATTTCTTTTATTCATTTGACAAAATTCCAAAATATAACCCTACACCACTGGAAAATTATTGATTTAGAGCGCTTGCCACCCGCTTGGCCTAAGGACTTGGGCAAGACAGTACCAGGCAAAGGGGCGCAACTGAAAAAGGCGGTGCATGGTTTGACCCAGTAAACGCGTCACTGGGCCAGTGGGTCATTTGAGGCCACGGAGCCTGGTATAAGAGCTCGGGACGGCCATGGGCGGGTCGTGTGCGCGCTCGTAGGTTTGAACCTACCGTGTCTGGTGAGCAAGTTCTCATGGATTAGCCCTCTACCCTCCTCCTGGGTTTGTTCGAATGGAATACAGTTCAAGCATAAGATGACTACGTAAGTTTTTGTTAACGCTTTGGAAACTTTTTTTTTTTAAAGACGCGAAATAAAGTGCCCCTTTATGCTGACTGCGCCGTCTGGAAGTATAAATTGTAGTACGATTTTCATAATTTATTTCGTGTACCCGTACATCTATTTAATATTGAAAATATTTACTTACATCTCTTGCGAAGGTTGCATATTCAATTTTTCATTAAAACCTTCATTAGCTCTCTAAATTTTCGAAGATGAGTTTGGGCTAGATAACTTGACAATGAGTCCTAGGCTAACGTGACATAGAATCTAGGCCTTCCAAAAGCTGATATGTTTTTAAACGAGGTACTGATTGCAAGCATAGGGTTCATTAGCAAACACCATTAAGTAGCAACAAGTGTATGTTTTGTTATTTTGGTTGAGAGACTAAGATTTAAGATGGCGTAACAAATATAATATGACAGTATTTGTAACTGGGATCAAATAATCTTCTGCTGGCTGCTCGATCACACCAAGCGTCAAGCACAGACCAAAAAAAACCCCAACAACATTCAGAACGCGGACGTTTTTGGGTGATGCGTCTGTCATGTTCGTGTCTGAATCGATAATCGCTCTTTTACAACACTAACAATTTTGTTCTTTTGCTATCATACTGTCAGTCAAAAAAATATTTGTGGTATCTTTGTGAATATTTGCAACTCATAGATGTTTACTTTCTTAGATCTTCATTTTATCCGCGAAGGGATATTGTGGGAGCGTTCTCCTGGTCTAGTCTAGCCTAGGCCTACTCCATGCCATAAGTGATGTCAACAGATGTTCCTGATTCTACCTTAAGTGTCACAGAAACAAAAATGGGAAACGCCACGTTTGTTGCTTAAGATTTTGTTAATAATACAATGTGCACAGTGTACTAAATTGTTGATAAAGATGTTTCATATAACACAAATGTTTCAGTTCTCAGTGACCTTTGCTTTTTTCTCTTGTGTGACCTAGATCTGCATTGATAAAATGAGGCAAACCTAGGCCTAGTTTCTACCTATGCTCTGCCTTGCAAATTTTGACAAAGATGTAGGCCTACCTAAACAAGAGAAGCTTTTGCTCAAGGTAGCTAAAGCGGCATGTTGAAAAAAAAACCCAAACGCAATTATGATTTATACCCATAAAGCTGACACTGGAAAGTCTCATACGTCACAGCAGACACAACAGTAAAACACAAAGAAAAACAACTCCAAAACATGTTATACCCTAACAACAATCACAAAGACAACAATACAAACAATACTGTCATCAGCAATGAACTCAACAACGTGGATAGTGATAAAGGCACTCACATAAAAAAGCAACGATAATGAAATCTACAAGAAGACAACCCCCCCCTCCCCATACCCCCCCCCCAAAAAAAAACACCCAAAAAACCCACAAAAAACCCGCGAATCCACACAATGCCTGTGACAGTTGTGGTTATGAACGAAAAATCAGTTGTAATCACAGTTCAAGACTTTGGGATGCAGTGCATCAAAGGGAAACAAAAGAAAGAAGAAAGACAAAGGAGAAGTTATATTCCGTCCTATTTTTTACATAGGTGTTTTTGCTTGTTGACTTTGCCTAGCCGAGAATCCCTCTTTCAATATAATTATAATTCTTGTTCTTGCTTGCTGTAGTTGATACAAAATAATGTCTCTTATTTTTGCAATGTCTGGTTACATCTTGTAAACACGATTCCATGCTCTGTGTTGTTTCAGGGCTGTGTTGACCCCAGTGTTGGGTCTGATGGTCCCGATGGTCTGGTGTAGTGTGGTCACAAGCCTTGTGTTGGCAGTCTGTACGTTGGCATGGAGACTACGGTACAGCGCAATGAAAGATCCAGCTTCGTCCCTCCCCCTCCCTCCCGGCTCATTGGGCTGGCCTATAGTTGGAGAGACGGTACAATTTGTTGTGCAGGTATGTGACACACCTCCTTTGCTTTCCCTCATGAAAGCATTTTCAAAAGATATATTTTAAATGTATATTACACATAAGTCGTTGCTTTAGATATGTGCTTGCCAACCTTTACGTATCCAGCGCCCACTTCCGCCACCTTCTAAAGACTAAGAATGTTCGTTCCCCATACCTACACGTATTTCCACGAAGGGTATTTAATAAAAACCTGTCACTACCCTGGCGTTACCCTTTGCCAACCAAAATTACCAAAATCGCCCACTAGTGTGTGATGCAGCCTAGGCTGGCAAGCACTATTTTAGATTCTAGTATGATTCGCAAATAGAAGAAAGGAAAAGGCTGCCTGGTGCAGCGTTAATGCTCATAACACGAGTTTTTTTTTTGCGGGGGAAGCTAGAGGTGTTGTCAAACTAGATTTTAGGATGCCGGCAACATTTCAGTTCACACAACAGCATTCAATTTCAGAACTGTCTTTAGTTATTGTTATTTGTTCTGTGTGTACATGTCTTACCGAAAAGGAATGAGATTCGAAGATGAGTAGCAGGTAGACACAATTTTGCTGATGCATGATAGTAATTAAAATCGTTATTTCTACGAGGACACCGAAAGGTGGTTGCAACATGAGAAGACATTGCTCACCAAAGGAAGAGGGTGGTCTTTAATTCTGGAGCAACTGTCTTTCGAAGGATAAAGCAGATTAAAATTACCGAGTTTTTCATATCCAGACATATTTTGATCAGTATGTTAGACTCTTTTCTTTAGATTGACCAAGATGTTTGATGTCTTAAAAAGAACTGTGGCCTCGAGACCCAGCAGCCGTGTTTTATTCACGTTTAACATTAATTAAAAATACAACCAACTAACTGCACTTCTATAGAAATGGGTCCCACGCGCAACCGTGTTAATAAACAATGAGATAATTTAGCTTGGCGAGAAAGAAAAAAAAAGACAGAATACTGATCAGAGGCTATAACAAAAATCTTCCTTGGACTCTAAATAAAATTAAATGAAATACTCAAGAGCCTTTTCGTATTATCATTTTGCTTTCTCTTCTGGTGAGGTGATATCGAAGGCGGCATAATTATCCTGCAAATCTCTACTTTGCATGCATTGAAGTGCCTATTATAAAGATAAAGGTATACGTGGAAGAGACCCCCCCCCCCCTGGATAAACAAGTAAATTATGTAATAAAGAAATAAAGAAACAAATAAAGAAATTAATAAAGCCAAAGAAAACCAACAGCTACCCTGTACACTTCTAAGTATGCATAACTCTTTTATAGCAGCGAAAGTAAATAAACATAATAATTAAATATGTCACCTAAGTTGACTCGAAACGTTGTTGTACCCCAACAGCATAATGTTTACCATTTTCGCTCTTTTTTGTGTTTTGCATAGAAAAAAAATCAAGTGATGAAACCCAGGACAGATTGTTAAAAAATTAGATCAGATTTTAGTTACGAATAAAGAGGAAACAGACGTAAATACAATGCTTCAGTAGCGCATTATGAGTTCTCAAAACAGGTGTGCTACGAAACAACAACAACAACAACAACAACAACAACAACAACAACAAAAATAACAACAACAACAACAATAGCAGCAACAACAAAATCAACGACAACTACTTGATTTTGATTTTTCCATTGAAGGGAAATACCCACAGAAGCAAGTTTAATTAAAACTGAAGTCACCAAGATTGATGAGAGTCACCTATTTTGGACTGTAGTCCATAGAAAAAGGTTTGCAAGTCCTCGCTAAATGTTATGTAAAAAATCATTTTTATTAGACTCTCTATTTTCCCCCAATTCTGTGCAGGGCGCTCAGTTCTATGTCGATCACTTCAAGCGCTACGGGCCAATCTACAAGACCCACCTACTGGGCAGCCCAACAGCACGTGTGTCCGGGGCAGAACATCTGCACCATCTGTTGAACAGCGAACCCCAGAGCCTCACAATGAAACTGCCGGGCTCAGTGCGCCATATGATGGGCAAGGCTAGTCTTGTTACCTCCAAGGGTGATGACCATGTCAGAATGAAGAAGATCATCCTGGAAGCTTTCACAACCACCAGGTAGGTCTTTCTTTCTTTCTTTTTGTTTTCTTTTTTTTCTTTCCTTTTTCTTTCCGTTTTTCTTTTTTTTCTTTTTCTTTCCGTTTTTCTTCTTCTTTTTTCCATTTCTTTCTTATTTTAGCGAAGGTTTAGAGGGTGTTATTGACAGTTTTGCTTTCTTTGCTAACTATCTGTATCTCCTTCCTTTATTTCTTGACTTTTCTCAGCTCTAAATGACCATTATGGTGTCTATGTGCCTTCTCCAACTCGGATTCAGTTTTTTGCATCCCAGTTTTGTTTCTTTTCTATTGACAACACTGCTGATTAGTTCCTGCTTAAAGTTAGATTTACTCCCGTTGTATTGCTCCATGGTTATTGGATTGGTTTCCTTTTTCTTATGTTTGTGGTGGTTTCCATGGCCACAGGCAGGCCGGGCAGGTGTCTCCGTGAGGTCCTGATTAAAGTGAAATGGTGATCAGACGTTCTGTCCTTTAAGTACGGAATATATGCAGATAATTTTAGTGAAGTCTGAAATGTGGTATTTCGGAGTCTTGAGTTATACACAAAGTTGCATTTTTCATTTTGGTTTCTTGTGTTCAATGTTACTTCTGCTTGTCTTCTTCTTATACACTTGATTTTGGGAGGATAGAAATGTTTTCCATTAACGTCCAGCCTTAAAGTAAAGGCGTCTGTGGTGTAACTGACATGCTCGTTACCTTGCACACAAACGATGTTCTTTCGGTTTCTTGGTTAAGAGTTATTCTATCGATTGTTTCCACCTTTCTGTGGAATTGTGGTCTCCTTTACAGGCCAGGGTAGCTGTGCTAGGTAGGACGGAGCAGTCCACTCCCTGGTCTAAATGATGTCAATGTTTAATGTTTTAGTAAGAGTTTAACGGCACTTGCACTTGCAATAAACAAGGTCATACAAACTGGAGATTAGAGATGTTACAAGAGACTAAAAAGCACGAGAAAGAAGGAGGAGAGATAAGGGTTTACTGTTAGATGTTTGATAGGAAGGAAGGAGCGAACCACACCAAAGCATCTGCCAACCATATACTCATGATTGATAGGGGAAATAGAACGTTTACAAACATCCTTTAATCAAACTTTTGAACAGAATTCAATTCTTTGTTTTCCCCCTTCAGACTGAGCGACTACCTGCCGTGTGTACAACAAAATACGCAAAGACGCATCAAGTCCTGGTGTGGACAAGGTCGCATTCTGGGTTTCCAGGCGTGTGAACAGCTGATTGTGGACCTTGTCCTGGAGCTGGTGCTTGGCTGTAGACTTGAGAATGATCGGGACGGCAGTGTGCGGAAAGCGGTCATGACCATCAACAACAACTTGTTCTGTGTACCACTCAACATCCCAGGAGGAGGATTCTACAAAGTGAGTTCCCTCCAGTTCTTGCAATGATTTTCTAGTGTGTGTTGTAACTCTCTCTCTCTCTCACACACACACACACACACACACACACACACACACACACACACTCACACAAGTACACAGACACAAACACACACACATTGTCTCTTTCTTTCTCTCTATTTTTCTCTCTATCTCTGTGTTCCTCTCTCCCTTCTCTCTGTCTTTCTCTCGCTCTCTCTCCCTTCTTCCCTCCTTTTATTCTCTCTTCCTCTCCCACTCCGAGGGAGGGCGTAGAAGAGGCCACTAACTGAGAGAGAAAAAAAGATAGACCTGTTTCTCTGTCTCAATAAGGCAGTTTTGAAAAGAAAAAGACTGAAACCTCTTCATAATATTAATATTAATTCCACATTCCTTCACAGGCTTCTAAAGCAAGGGCGATAATCTCCGAGTTCGTTTTGCGACGACTTGCTGACAAGGGGGATAAAGAGCATGTGAGCATGTTGGAGGTGTTCCTGGCTGCACACCACACTGAAGTGGGTGCCGCTGGGAAAGGCGCTGGTCAAGGGCTCACAGCGGAGGAGATCGTAGACAACGCCATCAGTTTGATGATCGCTGGTACGGGCACCACTTCGGGGGCGCTGTGTTGTCTGCTTCTTCTTCTCGGCCAGCACCCAGAAGTGGTGGAAGAAATAAGAGAGGAGCTGAATACTGCCGGACTGCTCTCCCCTGGTACGTAAAAGTTTTATTTTTCCTGACTAAATTGCTGATGTCATGTTGTTTTGGGTTTGTCTGTTTTTTGTTGTCATTTTTGGGGGGGTTGTTGTTTAGTTTTGTTTTGTTGTAGTTATTGTTGCTTTTACTTTTTTGTGATTAGGAAAAAACTCGTTGTCTTTTCCTGACCTGTAGATATATTAACCTGTTCTTTCCCCTGCTTCGTTTTTTCTTTGAACTTTCACCCTCCTTCCTTTCCCCTCAACAGCTCCCAGACCTCAAAATCCCAATTAAAGTGTCCATTTTTCAATGTTGTGGTTACTTGTGTTTTGCAGTTCTCTTTCCAAGTCAAATTAAACAGGGTTTGTTTGGAGGGCGGGGGGTGTCTGTTTGAGTGGAAAAAAGGAGGGGGTCTGATATTAAAATAGAACCCTTAAATGTTTATAATTGCTTTTAGACTCATTTAGTTTCTAAACCACGATTTAGTAGCAAATGGTCATATGGTGTACACAAAGATAATTACTGTCGATTTATAGTACAAAGAGAGTAAATGTTAGTATAATTATAATTATCTATACTCTTATCTCGGAAAACGTTACCTGTTTTACCCAGTCCACACAAGCAATCAATGTTAGTCAAATTGAGTCGAGACCAGCCAGATTTTCTATCACGGAGAGGCAAAAGCTGGCATTGAAGCAGTCTGATCAAACCCACCAAAATCAAACATGGTTGTATTTTAAAGGATTTAATCAAATTGTGCCAAAATGGCAGATTTTTGTCCCTCCAAGAAGGAAAATCCTGGCCGGTCCCAACTGTATCAAATAGATCAAATTAATGTGCACTGGGTATCAAAATGTAAATGTTAAATCATTGCGTAGGTGACACCATAACTGAGGCCATTCATATACAAATGCTTTCGTTTCAAATTCTTAACACCCTCTCCTGCAGACGGCCCGGGAGAACTGAGCTATGACGTGCTGCAAACGCTGGAGTTCACTCAGAGCGTAATCAAGGAATCCTTGCGTCTCCACACGCCAGCCGGAGGGGCCTTCAGGAAAGCGGAAAAACCTCTAGAAGTTGCGGTGAGTGAAATATTAACAATGGTTATCTCTCTTGACTGACTATGTGGAGTAGTTGGAGAGGGAAAGAGAGAGAGAGAGAGAGAGAGAGAGAGAGAGAGAGAGAGAGAGAGAGAGAGAGAGAGAGTAGTGCTGTATTGAAATTGTGTCTCTTCCTGTTGTTGCCCATTCCTTCACGAATGAAGCTCTCTTTTACGCATGGCCTCCCCTGTAAATACTGTTATTGAAGTTTCACGGAAAACTAGTTTGTCCATATCATTATCTAACAACTGCAGTTTTTCCAGTTGTGCTCCCCATGTAATTTTTGCTTGTTGTTGCCTCTGATGGTACGACGAAATTAAGTAGAAAGTCCTTATCAATCTCACGTTTTCCAAAAAATACTTGCAGTTGTACTAATGGGTAGATCTAACAAAGAAAAAATAAATAAAACCATGTGTCTTACGTGAAGTGTTTTGAAATAAAAAGTGGCACAATGCTCATAAGCATTTACTACGATCTTCCAGGGCTACCACATTCCAAAAGATTGGACAGTTGTGTACAGCATCAGGGACACACACAAAAGTTCCAAAGTCTTCAAAGATGTTTCTGAGTTCAAACCGTCTCGATGGCAAGACGCCGAGTTGTCTGAACGGCTTCACAGGGAAAACCCTTGCCACTACATGCCCTTCGGACGAGGACCAAGAGCTTGCGTAGGCAAAGCGCTCGCAACAATGGAGATGACGGTCTTCCTCGTGGAACTCTGCCGACTTGCGACGTTTGAGCTACATAACCCTGATGCAGACATGGTGTTCCTTCCGGTGACAAAACCAGCAGACGATCTACCGGTGACTTTCTATGCTCGTAAAGAAAAATCAAACTGAGAGTCTGGACAATAATAGAAACGCACTGAGCTTTGATACTTGGTTTCTAGATAATACATGTATTTCCATTCACTACTTGTTTGAGCGGCCTGTCTTATTTGGAACGATAATATTGTTTGTTTTAAAGTTGTAAAGTTGAGAGATACAGGGTTCAAAACCCAACTCATATTGAGGGCCAAGTTTGATCTTGTTTTCAAGTCTTTTGGATTAGGCGAGATAGCCTAGTGAAATAACTATTACAATATAATCGATATCCATATTATAGGAATTCTATTTATTTATCGTGGTTCTGTCCAGGGTACGATTGTGAAACTTAGAAAATCATTGTTTGTTGTGAGGGGGTGGGGGGGTTAATCTATTGATTTAAATGTCATATTTGGTTGTAATTACGTGTTGTTCATTGAGCATCATACTCCCCCCTCCCACTGATCTTTTCTCTTGATTGAAAACCTGTTCCTGCAGGAGGAAAAAAGAGGAAAGGTTTTGAAGGCATCATTATCAGCTGACACTGTACAAACGTTTTAGAGATTTCACACTAAATGTGTAAATGGAATAGGGACTCACGAGAATCATTCATGCTTTATGCTTGCTTTTTTAAATGATTTTTAGAATGTCGTGATTATTCCTACTCACCTTTGTAGATAAATTATGAGCTACTGTGAATGAATGAATGGGCCAATGAACGGAAAAATGAAAGAGTGACAGTGGAGATAATGATGGTGATGATGATGATGACGATGATGGTGATGGTGATTGTGATGATGATGACAATAGTATCTCTACATTAAAATTATGACTTAGGGTTTTACTTTTTAAATCAAACTGTAAGTCACGAATGACCACTCTGTAAACAGAACAAAATAAAAGATTACAACTTACTCCGGAATCTCACATTAAACTCGTGAAAGCATAATACGATCTATCTAAAGTTGATTTAAACTTGTTTTATCGTTCATATACAGCTGTGTTCGATAACATGTTGTCTTGAAATCAAAATATTGAATCCGTAAAATTACTATCAAATTTCTTTTGATTCACTTTTTTGTCCATTGTGAGCTTTAAGTTTGATCATACTCCAGTAGTCAAATTCACAACTTAGTTACGCATAACATCAAATCATTGATTTTATAGAGCATTATATGCAAATTCTATCTGCAATGATTGCCTATTAGGCATAGTATTATTATTCCCAGCCCAGTACCGGTTCTACCATGACTTATATAAACAGATTTCATTATATTCATCGAATGTCATCATTGATTGCTGTATTTCAAATAATCCCGATGAACAATTTTCATTTTCAAAACCGGTTTACAAATCCAGTCACACATTTCGTTTCAGTCGTCTTTGGTGTCTTTCTTTTCAAGCACCAAGATACATTTCCATACTGTATATTTTACTCACATATGTATTCAACCAATGATTAAATGTACTTTTGTGTTATGTATTCTAGTATATCGTTCTCACGCCCTGCTTTATTGCAGTTTGGCGTTGGGTCCGTGAAACTACTCAGTGCCATATTCTGAGATTTTTTTCCTGTATAATGTGAGGATGCATAAATCAGTGCCATGTTCTACAGAAACACGCTGAAATGTTTTCCTGTGCGTTTTCGGGATCTGTGAGTCTACTCAGTGCCATATTAATTGCTGACAGATCTGGACACATTGTCTTTTCCTTGTATAATCCTAAGATTCCTTGGGTCTGTGCCATATTCCATATCGACAGATCTACATGTCTTCCCTTTCCCCTGTTTACTATGGGGATTCCGTGAGTCTTCTCGGTGCCATGAGAGAACGAGAGAGAGAGAGAGAGAGAGAGAGAGAGAGAGAGAGAGAGAGAGAGAGAGAGAGAGAGAGAGAAAGAGAGAGAGTGAGAGAGAGAAGGGGGGACCGACATATAGATAGAAGAGAGAGAGAGAGAGAGAGAGAGAGAGAGAGATAGAGAGAGAGAGAGAGAGGGGGGGGAGACAGACAGACAAACCCATAGAACAGAGAGAGAGAGAGAGAGAGAGAGAGAGAGAGAGAGAGAGAGAGAGAGAGAGAGAGAGAGAGAGAGAGAGAGAGAGAGAGAATTATGGAGATAAAATAGGTGAGTAATATATCGAGGTAACGTTATTCTCTAGCTTACCCATTGTAAGGTCCGAAGAGTGTCTGGCAATGTTTTTTGCACAATGTCGTAGGAAAAGTTAATATATTATTACTAAGTTCATGCCGAGTGCGTTTGGTGGGTGATTGGTAGCAAAGTTTGTTCAGTGGGTGTAAGTCTTATTAACAAAGAATATAACGTGTACATAAATAAATGCATTACTAATTAATTTGAACGATTTCGCTAAGGTGCTATATTTGCACTGAATTCAGTCCGCTGAAACGACAAGTACTTGAAAAGCGTTTAACGTTTTTTTAAAAAGAAAAATGATGTCAACTATAGTAAAACAGGGTACATGCCCCTTTGTTCTCAAAATTTGTCTTGTAATTGAAAATACGCTTTAGTTAAACGTACGTTTTTTAAAACTAATTATTTTAGCATTATTTCGTTTTCAAAATTCCTCAAAGTGATGGATGATTAAGATCTTAATCCTTTTCAGTACACAAGACGTCTAGATGCACCCATTGCATTCCTGGCGTTTAGACGTATGGACTTCAAGTACAGTTCGTAGAGGCATAAAACCTATTTTTACATGGTCTGAATTTTGTAAAGTGTACGTTGTTGTGCCCATGTTGGATAGGAGACTAAATCGATCAAAATGCGCCAGTGTTACTGCTGGCCAGTATTATAGTAGTACCTCAAATACTGATTGGTCATGTGTTTTCGTGCAAAGGCCACTTCGTCGTCTGTGCGAACACCACCATTTGTGTTAAAGAGATTATCTCGCCACTGCCCGTCACTTCGGAAAGAGCGAGACGGTAAAACCTGATGCCACATAGATTCCTTCTATCCGCCTTACTATTATCCGAGTTGTTTAGTTTTTTATGGGGATGTAGACTTTATCACTTTTGATTTACTAAGGCAGACACAATGGATGGTGAGCTTAGTACAAAAAATATTAGATTTTGCCCTTCTCGCAGAAAAAAAGTGAAGTCGCAAAGGATCATGAAGTTTAAATTCTGAGATAATGAAAAAGACGATATCTATCTGTTTTGTTTGTTTAACATTTTCCCAGACCGTCAAAACATGTATATCGAGTTCTGCTATTTTCAAAACACAAAAAAAATGTAAAGAGCATCTGCCTTGTGGGTGATTTGTGAATCGATAGTAAGAGATAGTAAGAGAAAGCTTCTTGAAAGTAAGGATGAAAAGGTAGGGGTGGGGGGCGAGGCGCAGAGGGCAGGACTATGATGGGATGTGGTCCGAGGGAGGGTACCTGTAATCTATAAACCATGAAAAAAATACTCATCCTTGGTGTGCATATCCTTGCGTCTGCAAGCACCAAACCAGTGTCTACGTCGTGCCATATTGTATCATAGATTTCAATTAATATCTGCTTGTATATATATAGCTATTTTCAGATTATTATGTTGTATTGTCATTGTATGAAAGAATGTTTCAACTCCAACCCATGACATCAGTGACTAAAAATGCCGAAAGCTCTTAGAATGTCGTATTGTCGTGTCAACTTATCGAAGCTGAACGTTCGTGCCATTTCAACCCCCAAATGATCATGTATGTTTGCTACATCTGTTTAGTGCAATCGCTCCATTGCTGTGTAAAACAGTGTCTGTTTTGTTTTGCTGCAATCTGTTCCTGATTATATACGGCTTTGAAACTTTGGGGAGTGTTTTCCATGGTATACATCCTTGGAAGAACACCATGAAGCACTGTGCCATCGTTTTCCCTCTATTGCTTTTGATTTTTGGTTTGTTTATGCTTCTTTCGATTTCCTTTTTTCATTTCAAGAAAAGTATCATGCCATATATCAATTCCAAGCTTTTAAAAAAAAATTAGTTTAAAAATGATTATTTTTATTTGTGACATAAATATTTTTTTCCTCAACGTTTCTGCATTTTTTCGTCATCGTCTTCGTCTACCCAATCACATCACAGTACCATTTAAAGATTGTTCATTATTTCTAAAATTGTCAGAGAAACCATCATTGCCATCATCAACATCCTGAGCTGCATCTGTTTTGCAAGAAAAAGAAAGAGATTTGAAAGAAGTGTGAATGTTTTATGATTAACCCGACTTAAAGATCCATTAAGTTTCTATTGAGACACAATTGTTTTTCCTTTTGTATTTTGGTCACATCATCGTCATCATCATCATCATCATCACCATCACCGCAAAGGTCCATTTAAACGTATCTGATTCGATTTGTTTATTTACTAGTCAGTTACTCTTCTACGAAATTTAGTCGTTAACTTTAACTTTAAGTAATACAGAAAACGCAATCAGATAGGTAAAAAGTTACATAGTAGTTACTGATTTCTGAAATTATTTCTTGTAAAATTTTGCTTTGACAATGTGAAGTGGCAGGTGAAGAATAAAAAAGATTTGGCCCTCATTGCAGCGTCTTTGTGTTGCTATTTATATCGTGACCCTTGAGTCTTGCTGCTTGCTCCTTGTGTGAGTCTCTATTTCTTACTCTTTTTTCTGCCTCATTCCTTCCCCCCCCTCTCTCTCTCTTTCTCTCTCTCTCTCTCTCTCTCTCTCTCTCTCTCTCTCTCTCTCTCTCTCTCTCTCTCTGTGTGTGTGTGTGTGTGTGTATGTGTGTGTGTTTGCCTTTGTGTGTATGTGTGTGTGTGAGATTGTACGTGTGTGAAAGAGAGAGAGTGTGGGGGTGGGTGTGGGGGATGTTTGTTTGTGTGTGTGTGTGTGTGTGTGTGTGTGTGTGTGTGTCTGTTACAGTGTGTGAGCACAGATACATACATTGAAAGGTATAAATGCGAATCACGTACGTGTTCGTGTGTGCATGATTATGAGAATAGATTACATGTATCAGAGCAATTATATTCAGAAAAGCTTCCCAATTGAAGTCCCTCCACTGGGACTACAGTGATTATTTTTACTTAAAGATACACACATAGCTAGATGCCTGGTTACCAAACGGGGCACCGGACTCCGAGAATTTTACATTTCATTAGGAAAAAGGGAAACCATTTTGAAAGACCTCACTAGCATTCGAACCTCAAACTATTGCGCTAACGCTGTTCACTGATTTATTAGGTACCTATTGAAATCCATACCGGTACTCATAACTACATGTATTTATTCTACAAAAATGTAAAGTTATTTAGTCAATGAAGAGACAGTTGACACACTAAGCTTCGACTACTCTCCTCACTGACAGGGCCCTACAGGTGAATGTTCGATGGTCAGACTGCTATCACACCAGCTAATAGCCTACTTGACCCATGAAAATGGGGGCTGAACTTTGCGGTTTCCGTTCCAAATGCTACTGATATAATTGTCAGTGGTCATTTTATAATACGTAAGCACTCGTTATTGCATCTGGTTCATGGATTTCTCTCAGTACCGTCTTTACTTGAATTTTAAAATTGTTTGTTTGTTTGCTTAGTATAGGTTTTTACGGCGTTCGCAACTGCAATAAAATTGTTTGATACGTCATGTTCCCTAGAACCGGGCGAGGTCGAATCAGTCCGCCTCTTAGTTCATCTCAATTGTTTTGATTAAAACAATCAACAATTAGAGTCGTTGCAGTACGTCTGTTCTCCATGTCTCTGTACTTGTTCCTTTTTCTTCGCTTTTTTCTGTCCATTTCTTTTACTCATTTTTTCTCATCCTTATTCTTTCTTTTTCATTTTTAAAATCTAAAATAGGAATTAAAAAGTCACTAGATGAGTTATATTCTGTGATCGCAGAGCAGAGTAGAAAGAATACATTTTCTGCGATTAACCACAATAGTATTTTACAGAGTTTTTGACCAGAGTAAAATTTCTACCGCTGAAATACCTCAACTGTTCTTGCAAGTATTGTTGGGCCAGTTTCAGAGTCCTTTGGCGGCCCCTTGTAATCAAAATGACCTCACACTTATCAGATCGTAGACTACGACCTTGTCTTCATAGTAAGGATATCATAAGAATACTTGACTGATAACAATAGCTCAATTGGTGCTGAGCAGTCACTCGAACGTTAGCTTCATGAAATTGTTATGAAAGCAAATTGAAGGCACAGTGAAATGTATTGTTCTTGTTGTGTTTGTGGTCATATGAGACAAATTGGCAATGTTCTACATCAATCCTCTATCAATGGGTAATCTTTCTTCTTACCTTTTTAAAAGAAATATGTATTTAGTCGTCGCCTCGATATTGTCTTCGATATAGGTATAGAAAGGAATAGACTTTAAACCCCTCTACACGTTGAACGGACATTATATGAAGTAGAACCTCTTACTGTCTGTTGAAAAGAAAAGACCTGAAAACTCCCCATAAAAAAGTACACTGTAAAAATAAAAAGAATTAAATACCATTTTTGTTGAACTACATGAAGAAGTTAACTTTACAATGACGACCTTAATTACATGAATACAATACACCATTTGTCTATAATAATATGACAATGTTACACCAATACATGCAATCCAATTATACATGTAATGTGTCTAGCTCAAGGACACACACCCAGTGACCCTCCGCCTTTTACTTATTTTTGTCTGTATACCCCCCCCCCCCCCCACACACACATATATATATATATATATATATATATATATATATATATATATATATATATATACATACATACATATATGTGTCGGCACATAAAGAGAAAGATATATGGATATATTGATATATATATATATATATATATATATATATATATATATATATATATATATATATATATATATATATACAGAGATAGAGAGAGAGAGAGAGAGAGAGAGAGAGAGAGAGAGAGAGAGAGAGAGAGAGAGAGAGAGAGAGAGAGAGAGAGAGAGAGAGAGAGAGAGAGAGAGAGAAGGGGTTGGGGAAGGAGGGATCGATAGGAAACAAAACGAGTTTACGAAAGTATTGCTGCTGCTTATTCTTGCTTGTCCGAGCACAAGGAAAGAGTCAAAACGAAATAAGATGCCATTTATTGTTCCTCTAGCACTGTTTGGTCCCCTGGGAATATCTATATCGCCCAATAAAGATTGGTTGAATTTCAAGACCAGTTCTTACGAACAGCTAAGAAAAACTATTGTAATGATTGATTGGTCCGCTCACTTGAAAGTACCTAGTGTGTTATTTTATCGCACCAATAGCCGCATGAAACTGAACGAGCTCGTATCTTTCAGCTTTGGGATGTATATGACATTCACTCTTACCTTTGACCCGATAACATATAGTTGACCATTCACTTCACTTAGGGCTCTAAAGTGGCACAGTAATCAAAGACAGTGTGTGAAAGGGCCAGAACTTCACTATAAAGAGATGAACTTATCTGCGTTTCCTATTTGAATCAGACATACAAGGTTATTGGCCATGTACATACACTCACAAATATTGAATCTGATACACAAAACCTAAAGGTAAATTTGTGAAAGTCTGAAAGCCTAAGTGATCTGACTTAGTTACACCAGCAGAATTGATCAATCTGTTTCTAAAGGCTGTGCTACATCGGTGTTCATTTGAATACATGTACCTGTAATGCCCCCTCCTTAGCTTTTTTCTAAATTAAAAAAAACGAAATAAAAAACAAACAACACCACCACCACCACCAACAACAACAACAACAACAACAACAACAACAACAGCAACAACAATAACAACGACAGCAAAAGGCTTGCATTGCACACGCAATAAAAATTACATTATTCTGTTTTCAAAATGCTACAACGTGTGCTTAGTTCTCATTTTGGTGGTTCCTGTCACTCACAGTTTCTGACCCCATGTCAACAGCTAAAAGGGCTTGAACTGTGTTCGTAATCCCAGTCGGATTTTGGACAGAGCGAGGACACAGTGTACGATGACATTCTCGGCTCCCGTCTGGTATACAGCATGGCTCTGCCTTGCGGTCACTCAAGTTTCCGCGGACATCAACTCTGGATGTCCAACATGGGGCTGCTTGTCCTGGGGCAGTTTCTCCCTCAGCGCCGGGGTACCGTCCTCTAATGGTCAAGTAAAGTGGTCAAAGGCTATTGAACAGATAGGTAATGCGGCGGACGTTGGGGTTGTTGGAAGAGGTTGCATCAGCAATCAGGATTTTGTCGTTTGCACTACCCAAAGGTAAGAGTAAACACCATCACTAAACAGCACAGAGTTTGAAGAAAGCTCCTGGAGGATATCAGTTACTCTCAGAAAAATAATAACGTGACGCAAATTACTGAAGGAGGAAAGAAGCACCACAAAAGTTGCCTCTGTCTCTGGCGTGGCTATATAATATTTCCATAAAACAAGGATCAGTGCCGTGAGAAGACTGATAGTAGATCTATTGCTTCTTTGTTTCTTAACTAAAGCATAATATTGTCTTTCATCGTTCTCAACACGATTCAGACTTTGATCCCGACTTTTGATGTTTTTGTTTGTTTGTTTGTGTGTTTGTTTGCTCTCTTTTTAATGAACTGTAGCTACAGCTAGACACAATGAACATATTTCGCTAGCCCTTTGTCCACCGCCAAGATATGGGGCTGAGAGTAAAGGAATACCGGAAAGATCAAGGAAATTCATACCCCACTAGAATTTGAAAATTATTCCTTTAATGCTGTCCCCAAAATTAGTTGTTTGAGTTAGGAAAATGTCTGAACTCATCAGAAAAAAACCACATTGGTTATGCGGCTACATTGGGATGATGAGTTTCTTGTTAGTTGTCAAATGCCGCTTTGTTAAGGAGTTTTTCGCATTGTCTAAGAGTTCAAGTCTCAAAGCGCAGGCCTCAAGTTTCATCTCATTTCTTTATCAACAGTCATGTAAATGCCTTTTGAAGTTCGTTCAAGAATTTCCTGTAGTTGCTTCCTAATTTAAGTTTATCCTGTTTTAATGGAGATTACGACCTACTCAAAGGAAGTGAAATGGGTACTTATTTCATTTGCGTGTAGTGAAAAGGTTCATTTCATACCTAAAGAAGATCCCACTTTTGCGAAAATTGTGTAACTAAAATGCTTACAAATGCTTTCATGTATACATGTTTTCGCATATAGTTCTATCATCTTTCCACTTTTATGTCCATGTATTATATTTATAGCACGTATTATTATTTTAACTCCGAGATTGACCTGTTGCTACTTGGACTTGTTAACTCATAGAAACTTGAATCAATAAATAAATAATTTAAATGAGACATAAATATGTGAACAAATAAATTAATACATTGTAATACGATGTTCTACATTAATAAATGCAAAAATAATTAAGCAAATAAATTAGTAAGTCGGCGAGACTATATGCCCTACTTTTCTCTTTATTTTTACAGAGGGTACGTGAGTTTGGATCCCTCAACAGGCGAGCAGCTGTGGAATTATACAGCTATGAGCAACCCGTACTTGCCTTTAATGGACGTCTACGGAGACGTTATAGGAATAGACAAAAATAATCTTGTCTATGTGTCAAACGACGGGACACCCAAGCATCCAATTGGGATTAAGATAATGCAGCCAGATTTTGGGTATGAGCAAGAAGTCACTGTACGTATGTATGTATGTGTGTGTGTGTGTGTGTGTGTGTGTGTGTGTGTGTGTGTGTGTGTGTGTGTGTATAACAGTGAGCATTTATCTGGCGATAGACGTGAGATTTCATTCTTCACGTATTGGGTTTAGACATAGTTCGAACGCTAGGTCAAAACCATAAGAGATACGTACGTGGTCAATACCGGCATCCAAATGTTTAGAATGAAACTTTCCTATATTATTTCCCTTCTACATCTTCTAAAACAATATTTGATGGAAAGTAATCGCCAGTAGTGGTTCATTTGTAAGATTATTTTCGGAAGATACGTAATCTAGAATGTACTGCAAATGACTAAGAACTCTGCATAAATCCAAACTGAAACATAATATCTATCACGAGACACACAGTATGCATTTATAGCAGTTTTATCCCAACAAGCTAGCACTGATTATTTTAAAAAAGACGGGCTGCTTTGGGGACATTTTAGAAAAAGAAGGATACTTTCGTTATTTATACAGAATTTTCAGTTCCGTTTTCTAAATCTAAAACTTTAAAAGGCCGACAACAGCACTATGAAATATGCAAATTCGTGTTACTGATATGTGTCTGATGGTTCGAAATGTGAAGCAACATTACTTTTGGTCTGTCGCTGATCTGACATATATCATGTGTCATCCTCGTCTTTAAAGAGAACTCACCTTTGTCTTCTTTTACACGTCTTCTTTTACCCCTAACAGTGTGATGGTTTCCAACAACAGCATTCTATTTCTGACGGCGACCAAAACAGAAACAGCCCAGATTTTTACCTACGACACAGGTTCGTTCTTTTGTTTAGTGGAGTAAGGGTGCCGCAAGACATATGCAAAACCACACACACACACACACACACACACACACACACACACACACGCGCGCGCGCGCGCGCGCGCGTTCGTTTCGTGAATATTACTAGCAGACTAGTATCAGCAACAGTGTATTGTGGTGAATTGAATTATATCACTATGTACTTTCAAAGATTTCTTTTCGTTTGGTTTGAAATGAACAACTCACCTGGAGTACATAGGCTGTTTGAAACGGAGAAGAATCATTGCTCCATCAGCTTGTACGTGAGGAAATAAAGGAAGAACGCAGGTTGCAGCGCCAAAGTGCATAATGAGCTCTTGGCTGGATGCTGGTCATTACTTTAAGCTAACCTTAAATCTGGCTGTTGTGATAAAACAAATATTCAGTCACATAATAATATAGTAATTATTGCTGTATGGGGCTAGTTTCTTTTAAAAAGAAATTAGAGCCTCTGTCAAACTTAAACTTGACTTCTAACATTTGACGAATTCATGAAAAGGAAAACATTGATCTCCCTGCGATGCGTTACTGTGGACGGATCCAATTTGACCTTTCTTAGACATAGATCTATTACAAACGTTTACCATTCCTATATCTTTTTTTCAGATTTGGATAACTTTTTAGTTCTTGCAATCAGCATTGCACTGCTTGGTTCATTTTGTGTTAAAGTTTGATAATGCCTGTTAATATGGTAAAGACATCTGGCGTTTTTATTTCTATTTCTATTTCTGCTTTTCTTCCTCTTCTTCTTTTCCATATCGTGCAAACATTATTAAGCCGGTCATGAGTATCAGGGTGTTCAAGTTCATATGTGCAATTTGCGGTTAAAGGATTGCACCTCCCACTAGCGTTTAATGGACACGTTACCTTCCAAAATATACAAGGAAGATAACGTTTTGATTATTGTTTTAATGTAGGAGTTTTACGCGCCCCCACCTCCCCCCTCGACACATCTTAGACGATTCAGGGGGCGAGATTCAACCCTCCTTTACAGGGCTAACCCAGGCTTAGAAAAGTTCCAACGGCCCTGCAGAAAGACCAAGATGCTACCCCACTCGGGACTCGAAATTAAGTTTTCTGAGTGCGACAGCGAAGCGTCTAAACGCTACTCCACAGACGCCGGTAGAGAAGTTTTTAAGACTGATACCGGAGCTAGCACGTACAAGAGCATGAATTGTGACACTGTATTTTTCAGACGGCATTATCGATGCTGCCTTTACTCTGAAAGGGAGCTGGGAGAGGATGAACGGAACGTTTGTGCCTTGCAGTCATCCGGTAATTGCAGGGAACCGAGCCTACATTGTGACCAAGTTTATTCCCGATGGAGCCAACACAACAGTAAGCAGTCTCATTACCTGCAGATTATGCATAACACACATCCACTCCTCACATTCAGGATCTCCTTTTGCTTAGGACAATGTAAGGAATTTGCCATGAAGAAACAAAAATCATTCCAATGCGTAACACACGTGAGGTTTTTATCGCTAAATGATTTAGAGATAAGCATAATATTTTGCTTTAAAAAGATTTTAACAACGTGATTATAATGACAAGCTAACAACGATTGATGGTTGTTATTCATTTGTGATTAACGAGGGCATTCCGATATAACCCTTGTTTTTCTTTGATTCCTTCTTGCTCCACCCAATTTTTAAAAAATGTAAAACAACATCGACGCAATTGGAAAAGTTTGCCATTTCATTAGGAAGATGATTCTTTGTTCTATATTACAGACCAAGCTAGCTTGGAAACGTCTATTCGCTCTTGACCTTCTCCATCAAATGGCCCCAAGGATTGTCATTGCCTGGTATGCCAACTTTTTAATGGAAGGAGGAGCTCAGGACTCCATGCCATCAACAGTCTCTAGCACACAGCCCCAGCCGGTACCCGTAGAAGAACAGGTGCCTATTGTCACCTACTTCAACAATACAGTATACATCAACATGATCTGGCCAAACAAAGTGAGCAAAAGAGAACCTTACGACTCGAAACTCTGGGCTTTCAGAGATGAAGGCGCTTATGCTTCAAGGCTGTTTAATGCTTCCAGTTTTTATGGACCAATGGCTGTATTTGATACATACGATGAACCAATAAAATTCCGTGGCCCCAGAAAAGCGGAACGATTTCATATGGTGTGGGTATCCTCCAATTCGCCCGCAAAGCTAACAGGGTACAGAACACAAGACGGTGCTGTCGTCCAGGTCATCGATGTCGGTAAGTTCATAACTTTAAAGTGAGAAAACCAATGGTTAATGCAGCTCTATCAAGTTATTAAAAAATTTCGTTTGTTGCTCTTTAGAATAAAGCATTTTAAAAGCAATATCATCGAATTTCTGTCTCCTCAAAACCAGATAACTAGGTGTCTAAAAAAAGGACCCACTAAGATGGCAATAACTTGGTCATCTTTGGACAAAGTACAACAAAACTTCGAAGAAATAGAATTCAACAGGGCCACGTCATATATAATCAAACGAAAAAAATCAACTCCCATATTTAAAAAACCCCCATCAAATTTAAAAAACTCCAACCAAATTTGAGTGAAACGCAAAACTTAGCAACTTGTTAAAAATCAACAATAGTCTTTTTTCTCCAAATAATCATTATCTGTGGATTGAATAACACATTTATACAAAATTGATATTGCTAAATAAACTGGGGGAAAGTTGTGGATCTTCATAATGTATATTCCAGGTGTCGACCATCTTTTCTTCACATGCTCCAAAACACCACTGGGAATTTTGAATAACCTTGTGGCACGTTTCTGGGACGATTATTTGAACCTACTGTTCAACATTGACAGCACAGTGAGGTATCCATCTGATATGATGTAACTCTGATATGATGTAACTCTCGTTGTTTTGCCGATCTCGTCCTGAAACAACACAGGGCCGATTATGCCCTTGGATTGGAACATTTTTAAGAAGCAAAGTTTTGCGTTTTATTCAATATTGGTTGAAAATTTATTAACCTGATATTCCTCGAACATGTTGAATGATTTTCTTCATATTCACAAACTTGAAGTCGCCTGACTGAGTTTTATATGCTCGAGGTTCTGTTAAAATTCGTGCTGAGATAACCGAGTTATTGCCCCTTAAGTATGTCCTTCATTTAGACACCCCATAGCGTTTAAGCAATCAACGAACCCATTGCTTTAGCAACTCAGATATATTGAGTATAAACAAAGTAGATCACAGCAACCAATGATATTGTTGTTATGGGAAATCATCAATTGCCGTACATATGTATATCTAGTCGGATACGTGCATTCTATCAACCATTACTACTCAGCCCCATATATTTGCAAGTACGTTTTGTAGTTCCCCAATCTCTAGTGCACAGGATTGGGGAAGCAAGAATAGGCATTTTTTCTACCGCCCACAAATGGTGGACTGGAGTAAAAATTCTCTTTCGTTCAAGGGCCCTTTCAGGCATAGCATAAATTTTGTCGATTTTAATAGAGATACCCTATTTGCTTCCATTTTGCTCCTTGTAAACAATATAAGTTACTTAAGTTTTATTTTTACTATCCTGGTTTATTTATCCTATATTAGTCTTACTTTGAGGCAACGAACAAATTGCATGGCTGACTTTTGTACTTTTCAGGTATGGTCTCCAAGTTGGGTCCCAATACAACGATCACCTCAAAACTGAGCATTACCAGACAGAACACATCTTCGAATAGAGACACTATAGTGCTGGGAGCAGTTGATGCCAACAAACAGGCTTTTCTGTTGGCCATAGAAGCGGACCCGGCAAACGCAGGTTCAAGTCTGCTATGGGCAACCAAGCTGAGCGAGCAGCGAGCTGACCCAAGCACGTGGGCAGTAGAAGGGCAGGTGGTCAACACGGCGCAGCCAATTCCGGGCACAGGTGGCAGTGTCGATTTCAAACTTGGTCTCATTGCTATGGTCACTGAGACTGGCAATGATTATAAGAAGACTTACATCAAAGGTGTCTTCTGATGAACTCCGCATTCCCATTTTGTAGAGCACGAGTGCGGGAACAGGGCAGTTGTCGACAGTTGCATAAGTCATCCCATGCAAGTCAACTCGAATATAAAAAAATCACCCTCCTACCCTTTTTGGACTGATGATTTACGTTTTGGAACAATTTAAGTCGTTCAAGTCCTAGTAACAAATTACAATTCTAGTTTTGATTTGTTTTGTTTTTGTTTTTGTAGTAGTAGTAGTATAAGGTTTTACGGCGCTACTACTACTACAAAAACAATTTGTTTTTGTTTACTGTTTTTATTGAACGTTTTGCAGTTAAGTTTTGTCTTGTTTCATTTTTGTTTTGTTTTGTTTTGTTATTGTTTTGTCTTTGTTTTGTTTGCTTACATGCTCTATGGTAGCTGTATTTGTTCAAGGGCGTACTGTACTGCTTCGGGCACATGCTGATTGTGTGAGACTTTTTCTGTCTTTTTCTCATTGTCTGATGATTGCATTAGTAATTATAGTAATTATTATAATAATATAATCAAACGAGACTGGGAAAAGAGAACTTATCCGCCATCACAATAATTTCCCCGTGGTTGCTACAAGCAGAATGGTGTCACAGTGCCTACATAAACAAAAATAACAATATCGACAACAACAGCATCAACAACAACAACAACAACAACAACAGCCACAAAGATAACAACAACAAAACGAGTAACTCGGACAATAAGACGGCAATGTGAACAGGGCAAGTATAGCACAGATTGTTCTTTGGTTTACTGACATGGCTGTGAATGCGCTAGACAGAAAGAAAAGAACAGACACCGATCATGAATTTTAGAAAAGCTTGCAACTTGTTATCTTAATCAATTTATTCTTCTAACAATGAATCTATGGGTATCTGTGAGCCATACGGTCAAGGTATGTGGCTCTGAAAGCCCCTGTGGATGGGAAAAAGTAGTTGATCAACATTATCCATTGAGATCAGATCTTAAAACTACGTAAGCTTCCCTGGAAGAACATGATAGGTCTTGAACATGATTCCCACCTCTTGCGAAAAGCTCTTTTTCTATTTTTATCTTCAAACCATTCTATATCGAATGTCACTTTTCACTCTTTTCCATCCTGTGGTTTTTTTTCTGATATCTCTGTCAATTTCCTGTCCTTCTCACCGTCCTTTTACTTTTTTTGTCAGCGTCTTCTCCAAAATCCACCCCCTCCCTTTTAATTTACTTCATCATCGGGCTTTACTTATTCTGTTATCAGTTCGAAGGCGATATCACGACACTGACGTGGGTTAGTCTTGTTGTTGGTTTCTATAATAGTGATAATAACAACATCGGCGACGATGCTGCTGCTACCCTAGCTACTGCTGTTCATAAAGATGATGATGATGATGATGATGATGATGATGATGATGATGATGATGATGATGATGATGATGCTGATGATGATGATGATGATGATGATGATGATGATGATGGTGGTGGTGGTGGTGGTGGTGGTGGTACAGAAGCAAACACATCATCAACAGCAGCAATTGTCAGGCTATTACTTCTACCACAATCACAATTCTGTTATAGAAGCAGCAGCACTATGACATTAAAACTTTTTCCAGTTCATCAAATCTCAAATCCGTAAAGAGTCTCAAAACCTCACCTTTGACCTGCTCATGGGAAACGGTGTTTGCGTCTTAACATCTATTACACCACTTCCTGCAATAGCTATCTGCCCATGTGGTGTCATCACATGCTTTCTTGGAGTAGACAAGACAGAAGTTTATTCTGTCCACACATGGTCCTGCGAAGACAAAAACGCCCCCCAATGTCTTAATCTATTTGTGATCATCAAAGTACAGGAAAGCAATATTTGCTTCTCCCAACTGCAAACAGGGGTATAAAAGTACAATGTGAACGCCGTTTTTAACACGGTGTGGTTATTTAAGAGGTGGGACCCCAACTTTGGCGCCCTGTCCGAGAGGACAAGACGAGTTGACGTTAAGGTTTGAATCCTCATCAAACATCCCAAGGTAAAGAGTTCCCCGTTGGGAGTTTCTATCACGGCTTCCCGCGCCGCAATTCAGCATAATACCACAGCGTAAACACTGTGCCCTCCATTATTTTTCTACTTGCCAAAATTATGGCTGCTGCGTAATCGTTTAATACATTGTACACATGTATTGTGTTTCCTGTTTCAGCCGTGCAGTTATTTGTGTTTGGTTGCTGTTGTTGTTGTTGTTGTTGCTGTTTTTGTTGTTGTTGTTGTTGTTGTTGTTGTTGTTGTTGTTGTTGTTGTTGTTGTTGTTGTTGCTGCTGCTGTTGTTGTTGTTGTTTGGCTTCGGGTTTGTTTGCTTTTGTTTTGTGTTAAATACTATAGTTTGGGGCAGTCACTCTGCGAAGGATATCACAAGTGCCGTTAACAACAAAAAAAAACTAAATAAAGAAATTGAAACTTTAAAGCAGTATATTAAAATTGGATTTTTGATATTTTACTTTGCTAAACGTCCTTATCCAACGCCCACTGGTTAACAAAAAAAATTAAGAGCCTAAGTTTTCATAACTGTCAGAGATTGAGCCTGGACATAACAGCCAAGAACATTCCTTGAAAATAAAACTCCATCGCTTTTGGATCATGGTGCCAATGCCAGAACCACTACATTGAGCTGCCATCCGAAATGAAGTCTATAATAAACGAGAACACATATAATTATTTAAAAACTATGTTGGCATCCTCCCTGACGGACCACTTGACTTCACGAAAACTTTTTTTTCAAGTTTTATTTTTACACCCAATCCATTCCAAATGTCCATTTCTGCCCCTTACGATACACGTGCAGCTTAGCAGCCTCTTAGGCGTACAGTGACTATCTTCCCCATATTGTTCACAACAAAACATTCAGACTCATTCAAATACTTTTCCTTACACTGCCGATCAATTTGGAGCTGGGGTGTATCGTTCATTTTCTGTGCAACGGCTGGGAGGAATTACAGCAAGAAGAACAAGAACAATTAATTATTCTGAACCTTCTTGATTGGTACCTCAAACTTTGTTGAGACAAATCTATTTGGTGGCCTACAACGCCCCAGAACCCAGCGTTTCTGCACACATTTAGATAAAGAAGTCGAATAAAGTAGTATATATGAAAGAATATAGGTGCACATATCTTCTTCTTCTTAGACTGAAATTGCTTAACTCGGAAACATTCAACTTCAACTGAATTCTGAAAGGGTAGAATGTGTACTGGGGGCACTGGTGACATGAAAATTTTAGAGACTAAACGTTGTTGGCACGATGAGCACACATTTATTTTGTAGTTTGGAAAAATCCAGAATCAACAAAATTTGTTCTTGAAAAATATAGCACGCAATTTGTGCATTCACTACACAACCAAATTTTCTGCATAAGACTAGGAATAAAAGAATGGAATACAAAATCTTTATAACGTTTATACATTTAGCCAGTTGCTCCACTTAACGTACATTCATGGATTAACAACACCCCCACCCCCCAAATTAAAAAAACATTCACGAATCAAAGACTTAGATTATTTGCTATCACCGCCAAATGAGTGTCGAAACCTAGTATACGTTATTCAATAGTTTGGAAATATACCTGGCTTGCTGGATGTTGCTGCTGCTGTTGTCGCTGGAGGCTTCGTGGCTGCAGGTATTGTCACTGCAGTTGTTTGAACTGGTCAGTGGTACAGACAGACGTACAATAGGGGCCAGTTAGATTATTTTCCAAGAATTTGGTAAGAAGCCATAGGTATTTTAATTAGCGTTGTTGGCTTAGAAACTTTCAGAATTATTAATTTTTAAAAAAATGTTTGTTCAAATGAATATGTATGTATGTACACATTCTGGTTAAGGTATTTCCGAAACAATTTACGATGATGACCACTTTATATAATACTGCATTTTTTGTGGCAGAGAGAACACCCCGTTAGAAAAAGTAAAATTAAGTAAAATTAATCAACGAAATTAGAGAATATTCCTAGACACTGGAGATCAAACACAGAGAGAGCGCTAGAGAGATAGATAGAGAGAGAGAGAGAGA